AAATTCCACTTTTATAAATCTATAAGTTTATGTAAAAAATACTATAATAAATTATAAAAAACACCATGTTTGTCAAAGTACAAACTTCTAGACATCTTTTACAACAGAAAGTTCTCAAACCTTTACACAGTGGGTCCCATGTCTTATAAAAGATCGCTGCATTAGAGGGAAGGTGTCTATGAATCAGTTCTCAAACTGTGGGTTGGGACCCAAAGTTAGTCGCAACCCCATTTCAATGGGGTCACCAGGGATGGCGTTAGACTAGCTGGGGTCCCTGGGCCAAAACTGAAGCCCAAGATTTTCAGTCCAGGATGGCTAGACTCAGGTTACAGGCCCCCCACCCAGAGGTGAAGCCCTGGGGCTTCAACTTTAACCGGCTCGCCCACCCAGGGCAGTGGAGCTCGGGCTTTGGCCCTCCTACTTGGGTGGGCTCAGGCTTCAGTGCCTCCTCCAGGGGTCATGTAGTAATTTTTGTTGTCAGAAGGGGGTTGCGGGTGCAATGAAGTTTGAGAACCACTGCTCTAATGTATGTTGTAACTTCTGTAACATCCATGTTGCAACTACAGCAATCAGTTATATGAAAAAGCAACATTAGGAAAGTATTTATTTATTTTTAGGGGGTCTTTGAATGTGATTTAACAAATGGAAACAATAAGGAACCAGAAGAATGTGACCAACCAATTCTCCACAAGCCACCAGCAAATTCTCCCTGGACCATGAATGGTTTAAGAACCACTGTTGTAGAATGTGCCTCATGCAGCAAATCAGTATATGTTTCCAAAAGTAATGGAAAAATGAGAAAGAATATACAAATATTAACAAAGTAATGAGTTTGTGATTAACCATTCAACTCACGAGTCGAGTTTAATATTGTGTGTATAACATTAGGTCATCTGAAGGAGTAGAATTAAATATTCTTCTATTTGCCATTATGTATTCTGTTTACACCACTTCACAGAAATGGCCCTAGGTGTTTTGTTCTGCTTCAATGGCGCTCTATTTTGTGCTGAAGTGAATGATGCATTTCAGAAATCATCTCTTTTGTAAATATTTCTTCAACTATACATAGTTATGCTTTTATGAATACAAAAATTATAATATTTACTTTTGAGTTTACATTTCCAGTTGTAAGGAACAATGTCAAATGCCATTTTAAGGGGTGGGTTACTCGTCATCGCATGTTGAAGGCCAAATTGTTCTGTGTTGATGATGAAATCGCTGAATTTTAAATAAGTTAAACATTTGAGATACTAATGAAAGATCACACTTGAAGCATGGAGGTTAATGGATTTAAAGCTAATCTCCAAAAACCTAATCAATTGATTTGTATATTCACTATAGTTGTAATAGAGATAAATGTCCCAAAAGGTGTTGTCTCTCAAAAGCAGTTATGGTTTTGCCAAAAACCACGGATTTTAATGAAACCCTTAAATTAACTACCTGCTATTATCTGAAAAAGGCACCCAGGTCTTAGGATAATTTACAGAGTTGTGTCTTAGCTAGGGTGACCACCTTTTCAAAATGCAAAACCGAGACACAGGCAATAGCCCCACCTCCTGCCCCTCCTCTTCCCCCAGCCCCACCCCCTGGAAGCCAGAGCCACCCAGGCTCGGGCCACTGTGCAGAGAGCCCTGGACCCTTCATCTGCCCTGGGCAGCAGGCTGGGATGCCCAAGAGCACCCGCGACCCATGTCCCCATTCCCAGGGGAGCAGTGCCCAGGGCAGGTGAAGAGTCCAGGGCTCCCCGCAGTGGCCCTAGCTCTCTTGGTGGCTCTTACTACTGCCAGGCTTCTGGCCTAGCGTGGAGGCCTCATGGCCAGGGGGCCCAGGCCCACCTGAGTGCCTACCCCCCCAAACACACACACCAGGAAGAGGCTGGCACTGCCCCTGAGCCTCATGCAGGCACGCAGGGAATCCAGGACAAATGCTGTCCCGGCGTCATTCAACCCATGACTGGGACTAGAAATGTACATTTCAGGACTTCCCCATCCAATTAGGGACAGGTGGTCACCCTAATCTTAGCATGCATTTCACAACTGAAATAGAGAAGCTGCAGAACTGGATACGATTACTAAAACAAACCTACATGATCCCAACACCAAGGCTCAGGTTCTGCTGCATGCTCACATTGTGACAACAATGGCTGACAAATCTGAGGTCTGACTCTATAAAGGTCAGATGGTACTGGCCTTAAATTGCGAGGAGAGTCACAGGCCTGGAGTTAGGAGGATGGTGTGTCATAGACTCCCTTTTAAGGAAGGGACTTGTGGGGAAAAAAGTTAATTTAATTCAACTGCAACTAACACTGAGCCCACTTCTCCACTTTACCCTTTTTATTTTTGAAGAATGCAGGCCTTCTTTGCAGGTTTATTAGAGGTACAAATGCAAAATTTAGTTGTCGTGGATTTCATCTCAATGAGAGACCCTTTGGGTCCATAAACAAATAAATGGATTACTAAAAATAATTGGGATTTTTTAGTTTTTTACATTGGTGACATTTTTCAGATTGAATATTATTCATACAGTAACTAAACCAAGTGTAACAGACCCTACTAAAAGAAGTTCTTCATTTTACTTTAATATTTTAATGTTTGACAACACCACGTGGTTTAGAGAACACAACACTATGGAAATTGCCTACCGAAAACAAAATACAGAATGGACAAATTAAAATCATTCCTGGGTTATGTAATATGAGACTAATACTGACAATTAGGTTAAGTGCTTAAAAAAAAAAAAACTCACTTCCATTTCTTAGGCGTGCACATGCTGGATAAAGTGTATTGACCATTCATTTTCAACCAAACTTTTGTTTATTGTCCATGTCTTGTAAAATAGAAATAATGTATAAAGTCATAATAATTTTTTCTGATAAGTGACTAAAAAGCTTGTTCTGGACTGTACACTAAGTAACAAGCACATGTAGAAACACACAAAAATAAGTTTCAGGGTAGCAGCCGTGTTAGTCTGTATCCTCAAAAAATAAGTTATAAAAGCTACAGGGCCAAACTTTTCTGCCTTCAATTGATAGCCACATAAACCTGATGAAGGTGAATATGAACCTAATTATATTTCACATAAAAACTGACCAGGTTTGGCAGAAGACGAGATATGAAAACCTTGCTTACAGGCAACTCTGCTAATACAAATCAGAAAAAAAAGAAAACAATCAAGATCTGAGAATCCTGTATAAATTCTGTTACCCTGGTTAAATGCAGACATATGAAAAAAGTTATATAAGGCTTCAAAAAGGTATAATATACAATAGAAATCATAATCTTAACAACACAAATATTTCCTACTAATTTTTCCTTAAACATTTACTAAATATTGGCATTTTTCCCTCTATATGTAATGAAATAGAAGACAATGCAACTCAAATTTTGTTTACTTCTCTGGATCTAATTTTGCAATCCTTACACACCCAAAAACTCCCACTGGAGATAATGGGAATTTTAAGTACACAAGGATTCAGACTCAGCCTATGTACCACGATCATACATGATGGCTGTAGGAATCATTACAGCTGTTGGGACAGTGTATATAATTTGTTGTTGCAGAGCAGCTGAGGAATCTAACACATTTTTAAAAACTACCTTGGCAAAGAAACGGTGTATCGAAAAAAGAAAAATTGTAACAAAAGACATTTCCGTTCAGATCAGAAGAATTTCAAGGTAGATCAAAATTTGGTCTTAAGTAGATCAACCATAAATTTTAAGAGCAGAGTTTAGGTGGCTTGCAGCCAGAACGCCAAAATGAAATGGCTTTGCATCTGTTGTCTCCTGTCCCTACGGTCTCTCCTACCATTAGCTTTCTAGACCAAGAGCAATTTTTTTCAAAAGCATCTAAGTGATTTAGACACCTAATCATATTTTCAAAAGTAACTCAGGACTAGACTTTTAAATATATTTAGGTACCTAAATCTGAATTTGGACACCTAGTGGGATTTTCAAAAGTGTGTAGGTACGTATCTGCATCTTAAGGCACCTAAATATCTTTAAAATTCTGGCCCTTAGACACTTAAGAACCTAAAATCCACTCACTTTCATTGAGACTTGGGCTCCTAACTTACTTAAACACTGCTGAAAATTTTATTCTTCCCAAGTCACCTTTGAAAATGGGACTTAGGCTCTTTCAAAATATCACCCCAAGTTTCTTGTTGCTCTGGTTCCTTAGACCTTTTCTCTTTCAAAGTGTGATTAACAAAGCAGTTTTCCTTAACAATGCAGTTAACTGCAAGATTAACTGTTTACACTGTATATAAATTATATGTGATACTGTACTACATTCAATAAGCTACATAATTGAAGGTATTTTATACAGACCACATCCTTACAGGACATTTTGGAAACTAGAAACAAGTAAAATGACTTCTTTCTGTAACACATCTCACTGTCTAAAATCCACTGTTCCAATAAATTATATTAGTTTGGGACCAAAAATATTTTAAGTCTGAAAACACAAACAATATAGTCTGAATGGTACAAGAAAATGCTCGAGGTAACTACACAGCAGATTTTTTCCAAAGCAAAACTACTATGAAAGGCTCTTTAAAAACTAAGTTAATTCAACCAAAAGAGACCATTCTTAATCCTAAAACATCTTCTTTAAACACAAAGGTATAAAATAATAAGACACTCTCATCATCTCCCTTAATGTGAATGGGAGGTAACTTACATAGCCACATTTCCAACAAGGCATTGTATTGTAAATTACAAACACAGGGAATCAGATTGCCACCTACAGGTAAATTAGTCAATTTCTGAAAACAAGAGCTAAAACAAAGGGGGTGCGGGGAATTACCCTCTTCAATTTTAGTATTTTTCCAAATACTTTGGAACCGTAACCATATCTTGACTTGCCCAGATCCAGAAAGCAATCACATTGCTCTGTAGTTACAGAAGAGGATTACTCCATAAACTAAGAAAACTCACGTAGACCAAACTTGACAGAAGTAGCTTGTAGTCACGTTTCAGTTAAAGAATTTTAAATCTGCTTACCTGATACGATTGGTGCTAGCCTAAATATGTCTGATAATCTGCTGTTAACTGGTTCATAGGGGGAATCTTCAAGCAAGTCATTTCCTAAAGACAACAAAAGATTTGGGTTTCTTTTACACATTATTTTGGGGTAAGATTTTGTTACTTCACATGATGGTATTATTTTTATTCTAAAAATAATTAGATTGGGTTAAAAAGAAAACGACTCTAATATTACAAGGTGCTTCCCATTTATTGTTCATGGGAATTTCTCTCCCCAAGGGAGAGGATGGAAACACTTGAAAGAAAGAAGTATTTCTTGCCATTAACTCCCTCCCCTCCTCCAGCATGGAATGAAGTCACAAATCAGAAGAGGCAGTCTGTGACATCACAAGTACTGCCTATCTTTAGGTGCCAGAGGGAAAAGAGATGGGGGGAGGGGAAAAGGAAGTTTCTTACTCACATCAACTCGTTATTGGAAGAGAAAGAGCAGAAGTGTTTTTAATAAAAAACAGTTGGGAAGGAAACTGATTTATAATGTAGCAACTGTACTTTATTATGAAAGTTGGAGCAAAGAGACATATTAATCCATTAAAATATTCCAACTGACATTTTCATTGGCTAATGCATACATACTGTATGGCTTCCAGGGAGCAATAGAATGCTGGAAGCACCTTCAGAATGGATGTTTGAGACAAACTAGGGCCTCATCCTGTATTTTTTGTGGGCCTAAACTTCCACTGAATTCAGCAGGCATTTGGGGTTCTTCAGCAATGCAAAATCCAGGCCGGTGATACATAGCAATATTACCTAAGGAGCTGATTCTGTTCCAAGTAGACTCAATGGGACAAGGACTTTAATGGGTATAAAGTCAACCTTATCATTTAACACTGGCATGCCATTTGCAACTCTCTCCTCTGCATTCTATGAAAGTACCAAATCCTCTTTCACATAGCTGTATCCTGTTGGTAAATAGAATGGGCCTTTTTAAAAATAAACACTACTTTTATCTTACACCCAGGAGCTAATTAATTAGTTCCCCCCTGTCCCTGTGAAGTGAGATCTAGTTAACAAGTGTTTAAACTCCTCAGTTAGGGTCACAAATTGATTGTTCCTGAG